GTAATTTCATATTTCCTATTTCCTATTTTCATATTTATAAATATTTCTTAATTTCTTAATTATTAATTCTTAATTAATTCTTATTTCTTATTACAATATTTCTTAATCGAAAATTCTCAAAGAAAGCTTAAAAGAAGCTTAATTGTAATGTGTATACACCGTAGCTTTTGATTTAAAATTCAATAAAGGAAAAAACGCGTTAAATAATCAAGCTTAAACGAGATTGATGCGATCCTTGATGAATAATTTTTTCTTGAACCCAGTCTTTTAGAGATATACGCTTGTGATGACTCAGTAATTTATAAATTATGGCATCATGTTGAAAGGAAATTTCGATACCAAGCTTATGAAAAAATATGCTACATCCTGGGTAAAGTATTCTAGGAAGCGGCCTGGCTGAAACAATTCCAGATAAACGCAATTGATTTGTTGTCTCAAATTCCGAGATGTCGGCTGGCATGTTAGAATCTAATTGCATACCTATAATATTTTAAATATTAAATGCCAACCTCCTTGGTTTGTTTAGTCTAGAAAGTATTAATATTATTACATACCATTATTAGCAACTTGGTAGGCGTGTTGTAGAAAAGTGTGCGCTACAAAATCACCAATGACATAATTTCTATTTGGAAGAACTTTTTCTGATGTGATGGTTTCAGCGACTAGCATTGCTAAGTCTTCTTTAACAGTTACATTCAAAAAAATGTATTGACTTGGACTATTGAAAGCAGTTGTAATAGTAGAAATATCGTTTTTAAGAATTTCTTCATCAAAAATCCCTACTTGAAATAAAATCCAATTCATAGATTCGGGATTATTATTTTTCATAGCTTGATAATCGATCAAGCGTTTATGCAATCTAGTTCTAGGACAACGTTTATCCGTAACGTAATGTTCTCTTTAAAAATCAAAAAAAAAAAAAAATTCGAGAAATAAATAATTTTTTTGAAATCCACATATGAACTTTTATTATACAGTCGGGCCCCGATATAGTCCCAATTTGCAGGTTTTTCATATATCGAGATATATTCTAAGTTCATTTTTTTTTGGATACGAAGAGAAAATAAAAAATTTACAAACAATTCCATTCCGCTATCCCAGCTGATAAACAGTGCAACTTCTTGTCTGATGCAAGCATTTAATAAAGTTTCTTGCTTATCAAAATCGTTATATAACATACTGACAACAACAATCGCATCTAACAAAAAAAATGTTTGAATTAAAAAAAAATTTACATTGATGAGCTTTAGAAAGACTTTCTTCACTTTTGAAAAAATCTTTAAAGCTTTCCATACTTTCAATACTCCATTCGAAGTTATTCCAGTTGATAGGAACTTTTTTAATCCCAATGTCTAAATCCGCATGCTTTATAAAAATAAGAATTCGCATTAGTAAGCCGCGTGATATACAATGCACAAAGAAAATATAAAGTGAAGTTTTTAACTTGAATTGAATTTTCGGGATAGCAAATTCTTATATTTTGAGCCCCTTTCCTTTGCAAAACATTTATTATATACTTTGTCAATTGAGTATCATCATTGGCAAAGATAATAATCCCGATATCAGCAATGTTAGAAATAGTTGTTATTCTTCCATTTGCTTGCAA